TAAACCCAACACTGGTAATAAGTAAATCCATAATGACATTTTTTTACTTCAAACCATTGCTTCCATCTAATATAATATTGCATAATTTGCAATAAGTCACCTTGTCTCACCTTGTCACCCTTGTCACGCTCTCATTGGCTTCCACTTTGTCTGAATCAGGAAAGAAAACGGCACATATCAAGCACTGTTTACAAGCAAAAACATTCCAAAATAGTGGCCAGAAGTGACAAGGTTAAAACACCTTAATGATGAATTTGTTTTACAAACACGCAGGTTTTCATTTCACAAGGCATTAATAGATTTACTTGTGGATTATTGTGATGTTTTTATTAGCTGTTTGGACTCTCATTCTGACGGGACCCATTTCACTGCAGAGGATCCAGTGTTGAGCAAGTGATGTAATGCTACATTTCTATGTTATGTTTGTAGGATTTCTTAAATTCTAATTTTTTTTTTAGAAAATAATCATTTAGGGGATTATTTTCTAAAAATTTAATTTAAGAAAGATTTAACATACAGCAAACAGTCTCACCAGCACAATGGTTATGGTTCGTGGATCATCCCTTGTGGGGTTCACACACCTACAACCTTTCATTTACCAATTGAGGAATTGCCAGTTTAAGATCATGTGAGACCAAACCAATGGAAGAATTTTTGCTGGATTCATGTACAAGGTTGGATAGTCTTGGACTCTTAGTCAGGTTGACTCGACCCATAATTACAATACTGCATTTGTTTCCTCTAGGAGCACCATCATTTTGGTATTGAGAAAGGAAAGACAGATTAGTTTTGGCCTTCTGGTTACTAGATCCAAATATTCAGATTTTCCCAACTTAGCCAACTTACTTTCCCATTAAGTGTTGTCTCCATTTCGACAGAGACTATCGCAGTGTCCTCTCAATGTAGGACAACGTATCTTGTCCACTTCAGAGAGTCCCCGATTGCTTATATTGTGAACAAAAGGTGAGTCTTGAGTGACATAGTGTCTGGCTCTATAATGGACTAGCAAACAATATAAAGTGGTTCAGAGTCTTCTGAGGGGGGCTGGTTTCCCCGTCTCACTGTAGATTTCCCAAATCTAATCATAGAGCAGAATGAAAACCATTTTATACTATAGCAGATATGTTAGCGTAGAGCTGCTGTATAGCCTTGTCTTAGCATTGTGAGGTATACCTTATCCTGTGTCATTGACACATTGCAAAGTCATTTTGTTTCATAACTTGAGTTAGTACACAAAGCTCCATGCCTACATGTGCTGGAGAAGTTGTCTTGTCATGCCTAATATACTGCAACCAGTGCTAGCATTGTCTTTGGAGTAGATGAAGCCCGCATCCTACATTATCTTTTGAGACGTGACCAATAACAATAAGAAAACACCGCTCAAGACTCATAAAAATGGATGTCGGTCTCTTTCTTGGGAGGGGATTTCGTGACAGAGTGTTATCTTTGGCTTAGGTTTCTGCCAAGTCAGCAGCATTTCTCAGTACCTCTACCACAAGGAAACTGCAAATAAGTACAAGTTGAACTATTTATTTTGTGTGTATAGTATAAGATAATATTTGTAAAGAGGGTGTGATGTCAGACGATACACATGTATCAAGCTTCCAACCACTTTCCTTTGTCTATTGCCAGTAGGAAACATTTTACTCAAGGGAAAGTGGGACGCCCTGTGGTGGGCAATAAACATCTGTGTCGTCAGCTTTAGATTAGCCTGCATTTTATTTTCAAGCCAGTATTGTGTTTTTAAATTCTCACTCTTTTCTCATCTCATTCACTTCTATTCCTTCACTTGAAAATGTATAAATATTTCACAGCATGATTGAGTGAAAAGTTGACAGCGTGTGGATATTTCACAGTACAGTGTTCTTCTTTTGTGTGTGTGGTACTGTGCTTTATTAGCTGAGTCACACACTAGGGTGAATCACAACATATTTGAAGTCATATTTCACTACAAAATACAAAACGTATATATTTTGCATAAAGAAAATGTCTATTTTAGTGTAATTTTTGTATTACTTAACATACATTCTACATTTGTTGTGATGAGAATAATTCTTTTTTTTTTGTAAACAAATACTACATTTATAGGTAATATACAATTTAAATAAAAAAAAATTCACATTATGTTGATAGTAATTAATCCAGAATTAATTAATAAGAACTTAATTAACAAAATATCAATATAAGCCAATAAAAATGTTTACTAAACTAGGCTTCATTTTGTTTATGCAAAATATTCAACTATAAACATTATTTTCTTTGGATTTTGGGGTGAAATATGACCAGGACATTCTTGACCGGCTTTGTGAGATTTAACACGAACACCACATGTACTGTATTTCTTATCAGTTGATTTGAACTGATTGCTGTTTTTAAAATATAAATCTCAATAAGGGATCATCAGCTGATCCTTCAGTAATATTAAATGAGGGAACCATCAGTCATGGAAAAAACAGCTTGGGCTGATATGTACTCAGCTGTTGTACCCTCAGGTGTGAGTGGAAATTAGCTTTAAATGCATTTACCGCTGTTTACTCAACAGTGGTCCATTTTGAAGTGATACAACATGGTCGTGATGCAATATCCAATGGTGGAATGGCAGTAGACTCCATTTTTCTTATTTTTAATGTAAATGAAAATGGTGCCGTACTCTTGGGTAAGTTCAGTTTTTCATTCAAAGACTTGTTTTCATTCACATCAAAATAAATAGGGTGTCTACCCAACCCTGTTGGCAATTGCATCCAGCATACTGTTACGCACATAAATGCTATTGTCGTTATCAACACGCACACAGCTGAACCGCTGAGCTCTCGAGAAACAGCAAGGCTATTTTGACACATTTGCTTATTGCCAAGTTTCATCGCTTCCCTATTCAGGGTTCACATTGTCAGCAAAATATTTCAGCTTAGTCGAAAAACCGTACGTGATTTGCAAGGTCATCAAACAGCATGTCTCTTCAGAGCCATTGTGTGTCAAAATCATCAGTGTTGTGTTGTGAAGGTCTGCGGAGGAACGATATTTTGAGTGAAGTTATTATTGATGGTTTTCATGAAAGTAAGAGTTCAAAAGATCCCAGAGTGTTCCCCTGAATCACATTTTAGGGGCAAACACAGACTTTTTTTAGTGATTCAGTGATTCTTTTTTAGTGATGGCAGTTGCTTAGCATTTCTTTTCTCCCTAGTTTACAACCTGCTGTCACCTCCCGAATGGTTAGAATTTGATCTCACCTGGTCGTTTCCTTCTCTATTGTGTTAATGCGAATTCCATAGAGGAGAACAGGTGCCTTCTGTTTCCATCGATAAAATGCTGTCTGTCGAGAAGTGTGGAGACAGTCACTGGCACGGGGAAGATTTCCTTTCCATCTGGCTCTGCTTTAGCTCGCGACCTTATTCAAATGTCAATAAGTGCGATCGTTTTCCCCCCTCTGTCAGCGCTTGTGAGTTTGATGCTTTTGTATCGAGTCGAGGGGGATGAAACCGAATGCTGGGAGTTCAGTATTAATGACAGTGTTTAGGTATAGCGGTCCTGTTGTTAAAGATAATGAGGAATAACCCACTTGGTTCAAAGCACACTGTTGAGGGATTTAAATATATGCACTTTTCCAATTTATCTCTTTATTACCTTCCTGAAATTCAGTTTTTGGGCTTGAGGCCTGAAACATGCTTTTCTACGCAAATGCTTGACGCAATTCCCAAGACCTGATATTACGTTCTGTTTATCATAAGCTAACGCTGCAGTTTTGTCATCTGCTGCTTTAAATGCTCAAGCTCTTTAAAGTCAAATAGATTCTGATTGACTGTTAAAGTTTTTATCATTTTTCAGCTGGAAAAAAATTGTTTTGAAAGTGATTCCAACAATATTGTTCTTCTGTGACGTTAACGTTAGAGCTGTGATGTGGACTTCGTTACTGCCATAGAATTAGAACAATTTTTTAAACCTTTTTGTTATAGTTAGGTCTTCACAACAAGAATGTGAACTAAAAAGATAACTGTAACGATAATTAGCATCCACACGTTCTGTTTATTATAAGCGCAGATTGCGGTTTTGTTGCCTGCCGCTTTGCTCAAGCTCTTTATAGTTAAATAGATTCTGATTGGTTGTCAAATGTTTTTGTTGTTCATCACTTGGGGAAAATACTATTCTGAAAGTGATTCCAATGATAGATGTTTTTCTGTGGAATAGAATTTGAATGATTATTTAAGCTTTATAGTTACAGTTATCGTCCCTTGTGTGAACGGCCCTGTACTTGTGTACAGTAAATTTCTGGCCTTACAGTGGTGTGCAATATGGTTTCGTACCCTGTGGATGAAGTTCTCAATGATTTCGAGTTTTCAATCTTCTGTCCTCTTTCAATTCAGACTTCTTTTTGCATCAAAATATAAGGCACCTTTTAAATGCACTTTGCAAGAGAGGTTAGCATACTCCTTTTTCCTACGATTGTTGCCATCTTATTTGACTAAAATAAATGATTTGTTCCTAAATCTAATGAGCTACCATGCTGTCTTCTGTCTAAATCAGCAGCTGCCTTCTTATATGTGAGATTGAACATCAGTGACAGGAGACTTGCATTAGAATGTTGCTAAGCTAACACAATAGTATGCCACTACTCTCACAATAGACCATTTTATTTAGCTGGAACTCAGTTTTATTGATGTGTTTTCAGTATTGAGTGAAATTTGAATATTTATATTTAACATTTCTTTTGACTTGTCCTCCATCATGAATTGATTTTTCACACAGTGCATTCTGGGATTGTCTTCTCTGTGAAAGATACTTGCAGTGATGTTTTAAAGTTTGGCTTGGTTGTCATCCTTCACAACAGGCATCTGTAATGCCTTGAAATGCTGTCTAGGTAGGTAGGTGAACGTTTGCTGCAAACATTACGCACAATCACAACTTTACCAAGTTGGTTTTATATTATTCTGTATCACCTCTGCCTTTAAGAGTAAATCAAAGGGTAGTTGCTGTTACTAACATCAGATATAATCTGGGTCGGTTCCATCTTATGAGAAAGTCTTATATGATACCAATGTATTAACATTAATATTTACCATAGCTGACTCTAACTGCTGTCCAGTAGTAATATCAAATATTGTGTATTCATATGTTGGAAATCACATTTTAGCATTAGTTTCAGAAAAGTACAAAGTATATAAGATGGACCAACATTGCTCTAAAGTTCTTAGGAATCGAAAATATGTAACATTTATGACTATGCTGTACGTAAAACTAAGGCAGTGACAATACTTTGGTAGTGAAAGCTGTGCAGTTTTGATTACAATCTTTACAAATAGAAGAAAAATAAGTGGTTTTATGGTCTGTGAACAATATTACTAAAATAAGGGAAGCTCTTATTTTTTGGAGTACCTCTCTCTTTCTCTTGTTATATATCTATATATTTTTTACAGTTGACCCTTAACATTGTGAAGTTACTATTATGTTGTAAACGAATGCTGTTATATTTTGCAGAGTCTATTCAATATTTTGCCTTATTGTTATAATGTCCATTAGTTTAATTCCTTTCGTTATCTTTGTTAAAGGACTGTAGTTCTCCTTTACTATAGTGATATTGCTATGAATGTGATCAAGTCCAAGTGAGAAATAAATGCAACTGCAATGCAACTGAAAACGTGCTACAAGTGTGTTTGTCTCATTATTGTCAATAATGGCATGCAGAAGATGATGAATCCTTAAAGAGACAGTTCACCCAACAATGAAAATTATTTTATTTACCCGTAAGAAGTTCCAAGCCTGTATTAATTATGGAAAACAAAACATTTTTAGTACTGTTTTGGTCCTTTTTGGGGCTTGACAGTTCCAGTCCCCCTCCACTTCCATTGTATGGAAAAGAGCAGCTTGAACATGTTGCTAAACCCCTCCATTTGTGGTCTTCAGAGGAAATAAAGTCAGATGGGTTTGGAACCACATGAGATGGAATAAAATACAAAAAATACAATACTCCTATTTGCAGAAAATATTTATTCCTTTAAAAGAATACTTACCCATAAATTCATCCTATGCACCTAATGCATCCTAGGTGTATATGACTTTCTTCTTTCAGACGAATCCAGTTGGAGTTATATTAAAAATTGTTTTGATCTTTCAAGCTGTCTAATGCCAGTCAGTGGGTGTTGCATGCTTCAGTCCAAAAGAAGTGAAATAAAAAGTACCCATCCATAAAAAAAGTGTCTCACAAGGCTCCGGGGGTGAACAAAGGCCTCCTGTATCGAATCGATGCGTTTTTGTAAGAAAAATATCCATATTCAAAACGTAATAATCACTTTAATGTAGCTTGCGCTCACTGTTGTACACAGAAGCAGCTCCAGGCGGAAGACTAATGAGTTCAGCGTTGCGCATGCGCTGATGAGTCTCGTGAAAACCAACGTTTGTTAACAGGAGCAAAGGAAGCAAAGTTTCCTTACTTTAGCAAAGGAAAACCAGTCTCCTCTTGGCTTATATCAAAATCCTCCGATATTCTTCTTTACAAATCCTCGTTTTGTACTTCTAATTAGGGACCGTTGTTTTGTTTTGATCTCTCCCCTGCGCTTCTGCGTGCGTCACTTCTGAGCGGCGCAAAGCTGACCTCCATACGTCATTCCTCCGGAACTGCTTCCGGTTACAACAGTGAGCGCAAGCTAGATTAAATTGATTATTACGTTTTAAATATGGATATTTTTCTTACAAAAACGCATTCGCTACAGGAGGCCTTTGTTCACCCCCTGGAGCCGTGAGAGACCCTTTTTTTATGGATGGATGCTTTTTATATCACTTCTTTTGGACTGAAGCAATGCAACACCCGCTGACTGGCATTAAACAGCTTGAAAGATCAAAACAATTTTTTATATAACTCCCGACTGGATTCGTCTGAAAGAAGAAAGTCATATACACCTAGGATGCCTTAAGGGTGAGTAATTAATGGGCTAATTTACATTTTTGGGTGAACTAACCCTTTAAAATATACTCACCCTCAGGCCATCCAAGATGTAGATTAGTTTAAATGTGAAAACAACCCAAAAAAGCTCTAAACAAATATGTCGGAGGATTTTCATGTGAGAGGACAACAGGAGATGGACTGTAGGAATCGATATTATGGATTATGGACTCTTATTTTAGCCAGAAAAAATTATTTGAAATTAAAAACGCTTTAATGATTGATTTGTTTCTTATCAACACAAAGGTTTTGACTTCACAAGACATTAACTGATGGACTGGATTGTGATGTTTTTATCAGCTGTTTGGACTCTAACTCTGACGGCACCCATTCACTGCAGAGGATCCACTGGTGAGCAAGTGATGTAATGATACATTTCTCCAAATCTGTTCCAAAGAAGAAACAAACTCATCTACATCTTGGATGGCCTGGGGGCGAGTACATTTTCAGCAAATTTTAATTTTTTCATGAACTATTCCTTTAAATGTAAGGCAGATAAGTGACAAGGATAGATCACTTTTCAACAAACATTCACAGACAGATCACTGCAGTTCAGTGACCAGACAAAGCAGTCAACCGGATAGTGTTCGTATTCAATTACATGCACTTTAAATGTTGGGAAACCCAAACCGAGGACTTTGTACAGGTTATATCCAGATAAACATTATGTCCTTTTAGCATTATTTAAACTATATCTTCATCAGGCCATATATGCATTTTTTTTGTCATTCTTACAGTTCAAAATATTTGAAAGGAAAGGTTAGACATTTATAGACATAAGGAGAGTCTGTCCTCTCCGGTGTGAACAGCACGAGATTTGGATTTCCTCTGTGGAAACACTGCTCTAAAGACAAGAGTGGCATTTGGGAGGACTTGCCCAGGTCGGCCAGTGAGCTGCATTCTGATAAGACATCTTGTGCTGTGCCTGACGGTTGTGGAATATGAATTTCAACAAGAGCAATGGTGACCAAAAGGTAAAAAGTAGTGTAGTTCATTATTTTACAACATTATGTAATCATTACAGTCTAGTTTTTACTTTGTTCTGTTAATTAACAGTACAGCTCTCTTGTTAACACCCTGTAACCTTGTTGATTTATTACAAAATTGCTTTTCTGCATGTAAATGCATTTCCGAACAGGTTCGCAACAATTACCTCAGTGCCTCAGGCTCCTTTTAAAGTTCCTTCTTGCCCAGCTGACTATAATACAAACTGTCTTGGCTGCAATTATGAAAAGTAAGGCACTGGTTTTCTTGTGGCTATAATATTTGTTAAATCATGTGAAGAAAACATTTATTGACAATTAATGATCTATGAGGCCGTTTAACCTTTCTTAAAAGTCCCCTGAAGCAAGGAAAATAAATGTCATGTGGTAAAAGGCACATTTTCTGGTGTGACTAGGAGTTCATAAATGTAACCCTGAAGAAGCCTCCAGTTCTCAATGGCAGCTTTTCACTTAATCATTAATGCAGTCTGTGAAATATCACTCTGGTCTCAGTCTTTTGTTTTCAGAGGGTCACAGAAGGATACTGATCCCAGCTTTCACCTTGCTTTGCTTTTATTTTGTGTGCTTCTTTTCCTCGAATTCTTTGAAAGAATCTCCAGAAGACATTAATTATCTTTATCTGTAAATAAATATAAAAATGGTGTTAGCAATTATATACATTATAATTCATATGAATTGTATATTTTAAGGTGTATTTATTTTATTTACATTATGTAATTTATTTTTATTTTTCACTCTTACCTTTGCTTATACAGGACGGTATTGAAATTATGGAAGCCCGTCTTCTGCCATGAGATAGAAATATAAAAAAATGTAACCGTGACTTTCTTTTTCTGCAATTTCAAGTTTAGATTTCACAATTCAGTTGTTTTTGTTTTCCCCCGCCACTGAATAAAAATATTAAAAAGGTAATTGTGACTTTTTATCTAACAGTTCTGACGTAGTTCTCCTAATTGCGAACATTTCTTCTTCTTCTAAAGTCTGAATTGTGAGGTACAAACTCAGAATTGCAAGAAAAAAGTCCAAATTGTGAGATAAAAAGTTCTAACCACCTATGTCCTATGATGGAAACAAGTGAGCTGCATTCTGATAAGACATCTTGTGCTGTGCCTGACGGTTGTGGAATATGAATTTCAACAAGAGCAATGGTGACCAAAAGGTAAAAAGTAGTGTAGTTCATTATTTTACAACATTATGTAATCATTACAGTCTAGTTTTTACTTTGTTCTGTTAATTAACAGTACAGCTCTCTTGTTAACACCCTGTAACCTTGTTGATTTATTACAAAATTGCTTTTCTGCATGTAAATGCATTTCCGAACAGGTTCGCAACAATTACCTCAGTGCCTCAGGCTCCTTTTAAAGTTCCTTCTTGCCCAGCTGACCATAATACAAACTGTCTTGGCTGCAATTATGAAAAGTAAGGCACTGGTTTTCTTGTGGCTATAATATTTGTTAAATCATGTGAAGAAAACATTTATTGACAATTAATGATCTATGAGGCCGTTTAACCTTTCTTAAAAGTCCCCTGAAGCAAGGAAAATAAATGTCATGTGGTAAAAGGCACATTTTCTGGTGTGACTAGGAGTTCATAAATGTAACCTTGAAGAAGCCTCCAGTTCTCAGTGGCAGCTTTAAACTTAATCATTAATGAAATCTGTGAGATATCACTCTTGTCTGCGTCATTTGTTCTCAGAGTGACACTGAGGGATACTGATCCCAACTTTTGCTCACCTTTTGCATTTCTTGAATATTGAGTAATTCTTTCACAGAATATTTTGAGAGTCAAGAAGACATTGGTCATCTTTCTCTGTGAATAAACAACCAAAATGGTATAGCAATTACAATTCTAATGAAAATATTTTTTTCTGTTTTACCTTTATTTTACAGAAAACTATGGAAGCCTGCTTCTGGAATCCTCGTTTTTCTAACCTCAATGGTTCATGGATTTGCATGTAAACAGGTTATAATGAGATATTTTTTGTCTGCCATACAATATTTAAAACTGTATGGCCTGGTTTCACAGACAGGGTTTACGTAAAGCCAGGATTAGGCCATAGTTCAATTAGGACATTTAAGCATCTTTTATAAACGTGCCTTTCAGAAAAACATTACTGGTGTGCATCTTGAGACAAATCAATAGTACTAACATATTTTAAGATCAATCAGTGCAAGTTTCTTACAGTTGAAACAGAACAGACAAGCATTTTTAGTCCGGGACTAGGTTTAAACCTTGTCTGTGAAACCGGGGGTATGTATTAATTTATACATATTTTGTATTTTTATTTATTTTGTTTGTTATTTTCTGTGGCTCTTGTGGTTATGGAATTATGAACTCTATGATAAAAATGTTTTTTTTAATGTCACCTGTGGCGTGGGGCTGTGCATGTAGTATGTGTCTACAAGGAGAACAACAAAAGTTTGTAATGTCAGGGTAGGCGATTTGGTTGAAAAACATTTTTTGTTATGCTGGTTGAAAGTCTCTTAAACACGCCGATAGCAATCACTAAGTTAAATGGTCTACATGTGTTTATATTGACTGTGGAAGGTGTAGGACCATAAAATGTTTGTCCAATCATATTCCTCGGTTCTTAGGACTACAATAGGCTGTCCTACCTGCCTGTCAACGTGTGTATTTGCATACCTCTGTGCACCCTGTTCACGCAGTCCTGAAACGTCATCAGCGCGTTCCATTACGCTATTGCAGACCAACTGAGAATGAAAGGCGTTATTGTAATATTATGCGCTTTGTACTGTAATGTATTCTCACCAGTGAATGAGACATAAGGTAATCTGACAACATTTGCATCCAACCCTCCGCTGGTTAGCCGCTGATCTGTCTGTGCACAGTCATGTGTTTTGGAGGAGGCGTGGCTTTGGAGAGTGATTTGCAGGGAGGGTGGGATCTTATGCATTCAAAGCTAGCTTGCTATTGCTAGCCTCTCCAAAATCGCCTACCCTTTTATATGCAGTGTTGGGGGTAACGCATTGCAAGTAACGCGAGTTACGTAATCAGATTATTTTTTTCAAGTAACTAGTAAAGTAACGCATTACTTTTTTAATTTACAAGAAAATATCTGAGTTACTGTTTCAAAAAAGTAACGCCAGTTACTTTGTTTTCCCATTTATTGACTGACAAGTCTCCTGTCCCCATACTGGGAGAAATCAGAAGTGCAGAGGAGTTGTGTGCGCTGTGTGAACATGATGTTACTGTAGTTCTAGACTAAATGTGAATGTGCAATAATTCATCCCACTCACAAAAAACAGATTTAGTATTCATCAAAATTAATTAAAACTCTGAATATGACGCAAACCTGCAATAATTAAATATGTTAATATTCAACCATACTAATAAGCAGAAATGACTTTAGATAAACTAACAATTGTGCTTCATTGTTTTTTTATTGCTGAAGAGTGTTGAACCTTCTCCTGCGTTCTACTGTACAGACGTGAATTTACTTTTCCTTTTAGCCTGAGGTTTATTCATTACACTTTTTGGTGTGAAAGGGCTTTTACATTTGCTATAAATAGAACTTCTTATCTTAAAAACAATCATGCCCTGCTCATATTTAAAAAGTAACGCGAAAGTAACGCAAAAATGATGTAACGCATTACTTTCCATAAAAAGTAACTAAGTAACGTAATTAGTTACTTTTTTACGGAGTAACGCAATATTGTAATGCATTACTTTTAAAAGTAACTTTTCCCAACACTGATTATATGCGACCTATTGTTTAATTGGACCTGCCATAGTGTATTTTAATCAGATAGCAAGCCACAGATTTTAATTGTAATTGTATCACCATTCACCTCCCAGCAAGATGTCTATGCTAGACATCTTGCTGGTCGGGTGTTTCTCAATTATAAAGTTAGTCGCCTTCATGCCTCTGTTGTCATGTGGTGCTTTCCATGGCATGCTGATGCATTTCCCACCGTTGTTCATCCAGTTCAGTAAAAAGACTTTGCCTGAAGCTCTGGATTAGAGGTAATAATGTTGTAAATAATGTTCAGTTTGTTGCACAGATGGATCGTTTCGCTTCATAAGACCTCAATGTATTATCAGGGGCCACGGGTGTTAATTTTGTGTTGCCTTTTCTGACTCTCAAAGTGCTGGTAGCCACTGACTTGCATTTTATGAATCTCCAAGGACTACAGTTTCAGCTAAAAATCTTTACTGTTGAAGAAGAAAAAAAAGGCACCTATATCTTGGATGGACTGAGGGTGAGTAAATTACCAGCAAATATTAATTGTTGGAGTGAACAATCCCTTTAAATCTTTCACACTTGATGTCTTATGTGGCTGAAATAATTAATTAATTAATTGATTGATGTGAATTTACTCAAAACAAAAGTATACTGATTTTTGGCTCTTTTAGTTCCAGGATGGTGTGAAATATCACATTGGTGTCTATTATGAAATTCTCCAGGCACTTTTACATTCTACAACAGGGGTCTTCAACTCACTTTCCTGCAGAAATTAGCTCCAACCTGGATTAAACACACCTACCTGCAACTTTGTAGTGATCCTGAAGACCTGGATCAGCTTGTTCAGGTGTGTTTGATTAGGGTTGGAGCTGAACTCTGCAGTAAAGTGGATCTCGAGGGCCAAAGTTGAGGACCCCTGATCTACAGTATGTGACAGAGTTTTCAGATGTGATTATTGCGCCCAATTTCATCAGGAAATGTAAAAATCTAGTATTTTGCATTATGCATGACAGTAAAAAAGCCATACATCTGCCGCCTTTCTTGATTTTCTTGAGGATTCCTCTGAAGTCATATTCAGCACAGATGTGCTCGTAGACTTTCTCATCAGCTACAGTGAGAATCTTTCTCATCTCCTCCTCCATTTAACCCCTCCTGTCTTCTCACATCTCTCGAACTCCTCTGGAGGTCAGAGAGGTTTCTTTCAAGACTTTTACAGAGATTACACATGCTATGGACTGCATTGTTTTGTTTCATATCTTATCAACAATATCTGAACTCTCTTAAAACACTTTTTTCAGATTGTCACTCACTTGATTTCTCCATGTCCAACAGTAGACATACATGCATCACAGGAGAATTCATTTTTTTAATACATCCTAAATATAAACAAAATATTTTTAATAATTTTTTTCTTTGTATTTTAAATTTCTTGTGTTTTTAAATTTTTACCTATTACACTTATTGTTTTGTGAAAGTGCTAATTGCTTTGAAAAGTGCTAATAACTGTACATAATAAACACGTTCAAGCCTATGACAGCTGGATCTTTTAACAGTGCATTAACACAGACGATCAGCAGAGGTCAGCGGTGTTTAGACATTAAAAATCCTACATCAGACTCTAAGCAGCTCAACATACAGTGTATTATGTGTATTTCAGCATCTGTATTATTTATCATTTAATAACAAGTTAGGTAAGAATGCATCTAACTATTTACACTACTGTTCAAAATGTTGGTGTCAGTAAGATATTTTAATGTTTTTGGAAAGAAGTATCTTCTGCTCACCAATAATACATTTATTTGATGAAAATAGAGAAAAAAATAATAATATGGTGAAATACTTTTACAGTCTGTTAACATACAGTTTTCTATATGAAAATGTTAAAATGCAATTTATTTCTGTGATCAAAGCTGAATTTTCAGCATCATTACGGTCACATGATCCTTCAGAAATCAGTGTAATATGATGATTTGCTGCTCAAGAAACTATTGATGATTACTATTGATGTTGAAAACATTTTTCTTTGTATAAACCATGATAGCCTACTTTTTTCAATATTCTTTGATGAATATAAAGTTCTAAAGAACAGCATTTAATTTGAAATTTAATAATTTTTTTATCAATTTAATAAAAACTCAATGTAATGAAATCAATTGAATGGAAAAAAGTATTAATGTCTGCCTTGTTTTTTTTATTTTTTATTTATTTTTTTATTTTTTTGAGTTCATCTTTTTTTCCTTTTGGTAGTCGTGTTTAGGTAATTTATTGTGAGGAGTAAATAAATGATATTTAGAATTAGGTGTTTTATTTCCATTTAGTGCTTTTGTTGAAGTTTTGTTGTTAATAGTTGTGTTTTGTGTGTAGTTGAACAAGAGCTTATTGTTTCTGAATGCAACATGACAGATATTGTGTTGTGTAATATATTGGGGAGAGACACTTTTTATTTTATTTTATTTCATGAATTTATTTATTTATGCATTTATTTTGTCCTTAACAGTTAGTGGAACTAGCTACTAACATATTTGGAGTTCAGTACTTTTTTAAAATTATTATTATTCTCAGTGTTGCGTTCAGCTGTGCATTTCATTTGTTTATCATTATCTATAAAATCCATCATTTTGGTCGTTGCTGTCTGAACATCTGCCATGTCTGACCGTACATGTGAAAACAAGCTGAGCAACATTCTTATTTATGGGAAAAGCTGAAGGAATATTACATGAGCAGAATATTGAGGAGATCACATCTCAGAGCAAACTGATGTGATTGCGGTGTTAAATAGTGTTTTGCGCTCTTTGCTCTTGATTTAAAGCAACTGTAGAATGTGTAGTTTTGTGTACTTTTCTTGCATCATTGACAAACTATTTTCCTGCTTGACTCTGTAAAGCTGCTTTGACACAACCAGTATTGTATAAAGAGCTGTACAAATAAAGGTGACTTGATTTTTGCGACTTTGGAGGCCCCTATAGATAGATAGATAGATAGATAGATAGATAGAAATAGTCAGATGATAGATAGATAGATCGATGGATAGAAATAATCAGTTGATAGATAGATAGATCGATAGATAGAAATAGTCAGTTGATAGATAGATATAGATAGTCAGATGATATATGATAGATAGATAGAAATAGTCAGATGATAGATAGATAGATAGAAATAGTCAGTTGA